GAATTACACACCAGACTGAACAGGACCTTTTGTACATCTCAAGGGATTCTGTACAAGTCATTTTATCATATCTAGCCGTTAAATCTCAAATGAACTTCTTAATGACGTGAGATATCCACCCTCTTTAAGTACGTTTAGAAAAAATACACGTGACATGTATTTATTTAAAACCGTATTGTTTATTATATCTAATCTACTCTGCAAATTTTTATATATATTTTTACAATAGAAACGTGATGTATTTGAGGCTCCGGCCAATTCACTTATTTACTTAAAGTATTGTATTTGTGATTGTGATTGTGAACTAGTCAATATCATCGGATATTATTCCATTCCTAGTCTAGCTTCTTAAGTATGGTTTATATATCAATTATCTTTATCCACAGTAGTCTTAATAGTTTAGAATGTATGTATGTTATTATATAAACAACTCATTTTACAAACCAAGAGTACTCTAAGGGAAATAAGTCTTGTGCTTAATCAGGTTTAATCGTCAGTAAATGAAGTTTATCAATATTATTATCATTATATAGTAACAAATTATTCCTGATCGTGGTGGACGAATTTATGTCTAAAACTGAAAAAAATAAACCATCTTCTCAAAGCTACCATAGCAGGCAAGCTACTAATAAATATACTTATACACTGGTACCCATGCCAGTGACAGAGCGTCATGTCGGCCATGTTAACAGTTATTCACTGGTACCCATTCCCGTGACAGAGGGTCATGTCGGCCATGTTAACAGTTATTCACTGGTACCCATTCCCGTGACAGAGGGTCATGTCGGCCATGTTAACAGTTATTCACTGGTACCCATTCCCGTGACAGAGGGTCATGTCGGCCATGTTAACAGTTATTCACTGGTACCCATTCCAGTGACAGAGGGTCATGTCGGCCATGTTAACAGTTATTCACTGGTACCCATTCCAGTGACAGAGGGTCATGTCGGCCATGTTAACAGTTATTCACTGGTACCCATTCCAGTGACAGAGGGTCATGTCGGCCATGTTAACAGTTATTCACTAGTACCCATTCCAGTGACAGAGGGTCATGTTGGCCATGTTGGGAACTGGCAGTGCTCCTGTTCGCATCTCCTAAGATACGCCCAGTTCAATAAAAGCGATTTTATATCAGTAATTGCCGAACCGTTACTACGGGTTATGATGACGTTTGCTCCGATACACAGACATACGTATTACTTGTCTTGAGTTACCATTTATCTATCGAACCCGTAAATAGAAAAGCAGGGAAACACATTGATAAAGCCCTAAAACGTAATGAGAAAACCCGAATATTAGCGGAAATCCGAGTCCAAGAGCAGAATATCTGTAATCTAATGTTTGTGCAATGGAAATCCCGTTATTTGTCTGTGTACTGAAACCACGGGTGTAATTAGATGTCCGTTGTTTTACTTTGTGTGGTAAAAACGATTTGTCCATTCTGTCATTGTAAATGCCATTGGTAGAACACGTGGTGCAGCTTTTATTTTGGAGATAATGTGGTTAGTAATTTATCAAGAAGATTACCATAGTAACTAAACCAACAATTAAACATGACGTCACAAATCTGTAACAAATATCATCTTTCAGGACAGATCAATGTCTGTATAGTTTATAGATGTTATTGTAACTGTTTCCAGCAGAAATTGACTATCTATAAATTCATCGAAATAGGAAAAATAGAGTTTGCTTATAGGAATGGTGTCTAGTGAATATCTCGTAACATTTTGATTAACAAATTAATAACATCATTTTAGCAGCATGTATCACTACACCGAATTAGGATTTTATTTTCAAAGAACGGAAAAGTATAATTTTGTATCTGAAGAACTTAAAAAATTAAATTGCTGTCAGACTAGTAATGCAGGTGCTTGTAGCAGTGATGGAGAAAACACGTGAGTTGGGTCGATGTACGTCTTTATACTGCATCCAAATATGATTCGATAAATTTGGTTATCTTAGCTCAACATGTGGCTTACTTTGCTAAGAGAACAACGTTGGTTTATCTGTATACATACATACATATATATATTCCTCCCACATGTTAAAGTGACTGCCTATTTATATGTCCCGACCGCACGTTTAATGGTAATAATAGCACAAGCCCTCCTGGAGAGACAGTTCAATGCTGGAAAGGGTCGGCAAATAAGTACCGAGACATTGTAAAACCTATGTTGGGTAACGTCTGGAGTAAAATACCACGCCACAGATTACAGTGTGGAACACAACGTGTACAACACACGGCAGCCTTGACGATCAGTCAAAACATTCCTATAGATGGCCAACAGTCACAGAATGTCTATACAAAAAACTATTTGTGCATCAGGATGTTTAAGGATATTTCGGGTCTTTTAGACAGCCCCCATTTGTCTTATGAACCTGTCAGAATTTGCCGACATACTCTGAATAGCTTGACTAGTTCGTTTTTAACGGTCACTTCCACTCAGCATTGTTGTTAAATATGAGCATCCATTGAAAATGAGAAATCCATCAGACAAGCATTCTCACCTGGAATACCTGTTAGGTGTAATACCGTATAGCAAGGACATAAAACAGTTGAATTGACGTCATCAGTGTCCTGTTTCCCAATTTTTACGAGTTGCATGTAATAGCATTGCAATTCAAAATTATTCTTATAAGAAGCATGAGTTATGAAATCAGAGTATGGAACGCTTCACATAAGAGACAGAGACCCGGACCTACCGTAACATACATATATATATTACCAGAGACAGAGACCCGGACCTACCATAACATACATATATATATTACCAGTGACCCGAACCTACCGTAACATACATATATATATTACCAGAGACAGAGACCCGGACCTACCATAACATACATATATATATTACCAGAGACAGAGACCCGGACCTACCGTAACATACATATATATATTACCAGAGACAGAGACCCGGACCTACCATAACATACATATATATATTACCAGTGACCCGGACCTACCGTAACATACATATATATATTACCAGAGACAGAGACCCGGACCTACCATAACATACATATATATATTACCAGAGACCCGGACCTACCGTAACATACATATATATATTACCAGAGACAGAGACCCGGACCTACCGTAACATACATATATATATTACCAGAGACAGAGACCCGGACCTACCATAACATACATATATATATTACCAGAGACAGAGACCCGGACCTACCATAACATACATATATATATATTACCAGTGACCCGGACCTACCATAACATACATATATATATATTACCAGAGACAGAGACCCGGACCTACCGTAACATACATATATATATTACCAGTGACCCGGACCTACCATAACATACATATATATATTACCAGAGACCCGGACCTACCATAACATACATATATATATTACCAGATACCCGGACTTACCATAACATACATATATATATATTACCAGATACCCGGACCTACCATAACATACATATATATATATTACCAGATACCCGGACCTACCATAACATACATATATATATATTACCAGAGACAGAGACCCGGACCTACCATAACATACATATATATATTACCAGTGACCCGGACCTACCATAACATACATATATATATTACCAGATACCCGGACCTACCATAACATACATATATATATTACCAGATACCCGGACCTACCATAACATACATATATATATATTACCAGAGACAGAGACCCGGACCTACCATAACATACATATATATATTACCATAGCCGAAGCAGTTAACCAAAGACACGATATATTTGCTAAGTTCTTCAAGGTACAATTTTATTTCAATAATTGATGAAGAAACACTTTTGCAAACCTGAATATGTGTCATTCGTGTAACAGCCAAACAACAACTTTCCGTAAAAATAACACGGTTAAGAAGACACAAACATATTGTTTATGTTTGGCCTAATAACTTGGTGATGGTGTTGATAAAGATTAATCAATTTCCTCGAGGCCAAACTATTTAAATAATTTTAAGAAAGCTCTGATCTTAAACATAATTCATCAAACTGTTAGACTATGAAATACAGAGGCAAAATCTTCAAACGTTGTTTCTCAGCTCGATCAATATCACAGAATAGGATATACACGGTTTTCATCGATTTTGTTTAACTAGATAAAATAAATCCGATCTGTATTGTAATGCTATACCATATTATGTTATACTCAAACCATAATCAATCTCCTCTCAAACATTTCTGTAATTGTCATCGACAAGAAACAACACATCAAAATATCAGCTAAAGTGATAAATAATGATGTCTTTAAAATCCGGGCTATCGAATGTGTGAGGGTTTTTACACCAGTACGACAGAAAACAGAAGCGAGACGTGAAGTTTAGTTAAATTATTTTTACTTGTAAACCATTGTATTTCGGAAGTTATCTTCCGACATAACCATTAAATAGACAACGACTTCCGAATGACATAATCGACGTGTCTAACTTAGAAGGTGACAGTCCCTCACGAAGACACCAGAATGCTGACAGAGAATTTCCGAAAAAACAAATTAACGATGATGAATGAAGATTACCTGTTGTTGTGCTATTGACCCCTGAACCATGGAATTCGGACTAGAAATCCACACTCTACACCATGTTATCACTGCTGAATATCAAAAAGACCAACCAGCTTTATGATGTTGTGATATTCTTTACTTGACTTACTTTGATTACAATGTTTATCGAAATATTCCTTGTTTTTTTCATATAATTATCATGAAGCTTTCACTCCATAATTTGTCTTACACACATAGTCTATCTAAATTTTGTTTTCTGAACACAAAGAGAATAGCAATGGATGATATTTAAAATATTTGTGTAACACTTTGAAAGTTCCAGAGTGCAGCATCTGGAATATCACTGATAAGGAGGCTAAGAAAAATGATTTAAATTATAAGAATTATCAAATAATTGTTTCTGTGGTAAGTCTTGTACCAGATTTCTTGCTTTTTAATGGTCCATTGCATATCTGTGTGTATTTATATATTACAGCAAGATGAAGACTCGATGGTACTACAACTAGCCCCGACTATCTACCATCAATGTCAGTGTATGCTGGCTCTACTTCAGCGGTATAACTGGACAGACTTCGCCATCGTCACAACCACCACAGAACAGCACCTCGAATTCGTCAACTCGGTCAACACTCTTGTAAAGCTTCATAACTCAAAGCAAGGCATAACCAGAGTCACCAGGTAAATTGAATATATCCTGACATACAGTCACCAGGTAAACTGAATATATCCTGACATACACAGTCACCAGGTAAACTGTATATATCCTGACATACACAGTCACCAGGTAAACTGTATATATCCTGACATACACAGTCACCAGGTAAACTGTATATATCCTGACATACACAGTCACCAGGTAAACTGAATATATCCTGACATACACAGTCACCAGGTAAACTGAATATATCCTGACATACACAGTCACCAGGTAAACTGAATATATCCTGACATACACACAGTCACCAGGTAAACTGAATATATCCTGACATACAGTCACCAGGTAAACTGAATATATCCTGACATACAGTCACCAGGTAAACTGAATATATATATCCTGACATACACACAGTCACCAGGTAAATTTTTATATATCCTGACATACACACAGTCACCAGGTAAACTGAATATATCCTGACCTACACACAGTCACCAGGTAAACTGAATATATCCTGACATACACACAGTCACCAGGTAAACTGAATATATCCTGACATACACACAGTCACCAGGTAAATTGAATATATCCTGACATACACAGTCACCAGGTAAACTGTATATATCCTGACATACACACAGTCACCAGGTAAACTGAATATATCCTGACCTACACACAGTCACCAGGTAAACTGAATATATCCTGACATACACACAGTCACCAGGTAAACTGAATATATCCTGACCTACACAGTCACCAGGTAAACTGAATATATCCTGACATACACACAGTCACCAGGTAAACTGAATATATCCTGACATACACAGTCACCAGGTAAACTGAATATATCCTGACATACACACAGTCACCAGGTAAACTGAATATATATACACAGTCACCAGGTAAACTGAATATATCCTGACATACACAGTCACCAGGACATACACACAGTCAACTGAATATATCCTGACATACACACAGTCACCAGGTAAACTGAATATATCCTGACATACACACAGTCACCAGGTAAACTGAATATATCCTGACATACACAGTCACCAGGTAAACTGAATATATCCTGACATACACACAGTCACCAGGTAAACTGAATATATCCTGACATACACACAGTGTACCAGGTAAACTGAATATATCCTGACATACACACAGACAGTCATACACACCAGGTAAACTGAATATATCCTGACATACACACAGTCACCAGGTAAACTGAATATACACACAGTCACCAGGTAAACTGAATATATCCTGACATACACAGTCACCAGGTAAACTGAATATATCCTGACCTACACACAGTCACCAGGTAAACTGAATATATCCTGACATACAAAGTCACCAGGTAAACTGAATATATCCTGACCTACACAGTCACCAGGTAAACAGAATATATCCTGACATACACAGTCACCAGGTAAACTGAATATATCCTGACTGAATATATGACACACAGTCACCAGGTAAACTGAATATATGACATACACAGTCACCAGGTAAACTGAATATATCCTGACATACACACAGTCACCAGGTAAACTGAATATATCCTGACATACACAGTCACCACTGAATATATCCTGACTGAATATATACACACAGTCACCAGGTAAACTGAATATATATATCACCAGGTAAACTGAATATATCCTGACATACACACAGTCACCAGGTAAACTGAATATATCCTGACATACACACAGTCACCAGGTAAACTGAATATATCCTGACATACACAGTCACCAGGTAAACTGAATATATCCTGACATACACACAGTCACCAGGTAAACTGAATATATCCTGACATACACAGTCACCATACAATAGTCACCAGGTAAACTGAATATATCCTGTGACATACACAGTCACCAGGTAAACTGAATATATCCTGACATACACAGTCACCAGGTAAACTGAATATATCCTGACCTACACAGTCACCAGGTAAACTGAATATATCCTGACATACACACAGTCACCAGGTAAACTGAATATATCCTGACATACACAAAGTCACCAGGTAAACTGAATATATCCTGACATACAGTCACCAGTCACCAGGTAAACTGAATATACACATACACACAGTCACCAGGTAAACTGAATATATCCTGACATACACAGTCACCAGGTAAACTGAATATATCCTGACATACACAGTCACCAGGTAAACTGAATATATCCTGACATACACAGTCACCAGGTAAACTGAATATATCCTGACATACACAGTCACCAGGTAAACTGAATATATCCTGTGACATACACAGTCACCAGGTAAACTGAATATATCCTGACCTACACAGTCACCAGGTAAACTGAATATATCCTGACATACACACAGTCACCAGTCACCAGGTAAACTGAATATATCCTGACATACAGTCACCAGGTAAACTGAATATATCCTGACATACACTAATGCATGATTGACTACGTGTTTGACTAATGTAAGACTGACTACGTGTTTGACTAATGTAAGACTGACTACGTGTTTGACTAATGTAAGACTGACTACGTGTTTGACTAATGTAAGACTGACTACGTGTTTGACTAATGTAAGACTGACTACGTGTTTGACTAATGTAAGACTGACTACGTGTTTGACTAATGTAAGACTGACTACGTGTTTGACTAATGTAAGATTGACTACGTGTTTGACTAATGTAAGACTGACTACGTGTTTGACTAATGTAAGACTGACTACGTGTTTGACTAATGTAAGACTGACTACGTGTTTGACTAATGTAAGACTGACTACGTGTTTGACTAATGTAAGACTGACTACGTGTTTGACTAATGTATGATGGATTACGTGTAATTTTCGTGTTTATTTTTGATTGATTCAGTAGGATTGTTGACTTTGATTTTTATACGTGAATCTTACATTAACGAAGAAGTATGGACTTGCTAGCATTAACTCGTATTATCAACAATTGGGATTAATTATCTAAAACAGACTAACTTCTAATCATCGATTAGTGAATAAAAAAAACGCTACGATTTGTCAGTCGAATCCTTTTATATTCTGGTGCTAATGTAAAATTTGCACGTCTGTTTCGTGTGTTATAAATGTACAGAAAGAAGGCAGATGGGACTCATTGTTTTTAGCACTACAGGCAACATAAGGTGAACTAATAACTTGTCTTAAGCAGAGTATCATCAGGGACATCTGTCAATGATGGAATCCTGTCGTAAACGTTGAACGGCGCCAGTCGCCATCGCTCTATGTTGTAACAACATGCAGAGGACGACAGTCCCATGATATTCTGTGCAACACCAACGAATGCTCACAGCTAGGCAAAAAGACAAGTAATTAATCTAAACCATTTTCGGTTGGATGACAAATGAATGTGTCCTTGAGTTTAGTTTTAAGAGATGTGTGCTGCGCGACTTTACGAAATAAAGGAATCAAGAACCATCAAAACTGTCAAAATCGATTCTAATAAAACCATATTGTCAAAAAGGTTAACCCAGCGTAGCATTAGTGAGGTACCATTAGCCAAAAAATATTACAACACAAAATGAAAAATCCAACACTTCTCATTTCTATTCAAACTATCATCAATACTCACCATTACCTACCTACCGTCAGTACACTAACATCATCAGTACTTACCTGTCATCAGTACTTACCTACCGTCAGTACACTAACATCATCAGTACTTACCTACCGTCAGTACACTAATATCATCGGTACTTACCTATCGTCAGTACACTAACATCATCGGTACTTACCTGTCGTCAGTACTTACCTGTCGTCAGAACACTAACATCATCGGTACTTACCTATCATCAGTACTTACCTGTCGTCAGAACACTAACATCATCGGTACTTACCTATCATCAGTACTTACCTGTCGTCAGTACACTAACATCATCGGTACTTACCTGTCGTCAGTACTTACCTGTCATCAGTACACTAACATCATCAGTACTTACCTATCATCAGTACACTAACATCATCGGTACTTACCTATCATCAGTACTTACCGGTCGTCAGAACACTAACATCATCGGTACTTACCTATCATCAGTACTTACCTGTCGTCAGAACACTAACATCATCGGTACTTACCTATCATCAGTACTTACCTGTCGTCAGTACACTAACATCATCAGTACTTACCTATCATCAGTACTTACCTGTCGTCAGTACACTAACATCATCAGTACTTACCTGTCGTCAGTACACTAACATCATCAGTACTTACCTATCATCAGTACTTACCTGTCGTCAGTACACTAACATCATCAGTACTTACCTGTCGTCAGTACACTAACATCATCGGTACTTACCTATCATCAGTACTTACCTGTCGTCAGAACACTAACATCATCAGTACTTACCTATCATCAGTACTTACCTGTCGTCAGAACACTAACATCATCAGTACTTACCTATCATCAGTACTTACCTACCGTCAGTACACTAACATCATCGGTACTTACCTATCATCAGTACTTACCTGTCGTCAGAACACTAACATCATCAGTACTTACCTATCATCAGTACTTACCTACCGTCAGTACACTAACATCATCGGTACTTAACTATCATCAGTACTTACCTACCGTCAGAACACTAACTATCATCAGTACTTACCTACCGTCAGTACACTAACATCATCGGTACTTAACTATCATCAGTACTTACCTACCGTCAGAACACTAACATCATCGGTACTTACCTATCATCAGTACTTACCTACCGTCAGAACACTAACATCATCGGTACTTAACTATCATCAGTACTTACCTACCGTCAGAACACTAATATCATCGGTACGTAACTATCATCAGTACTTACCTACCGTCAGAACACTAATATCATCAGTACTTACCTATCATCAGTACTTACCTGTCGTCAGTACACTAACATCATCAGTACTTACCTGTCGTCAGTACACTAACATCATCAGTACTTACCTATCATCAGTACTTACCTACCGTCAGAACACTAATATCATCGGTACGTAACTATCATCAGTACTTACCTACCGTCAGTACACTAATATCATCAGTACTTACCTGTCGTCAGTACACTAACATCATCAGTACTTACCTGTCGTCAGTACACTAACTGTCATCAGTACTTACCTACCGTCAGTACACTAATATCATCAGTACTTACCTATCATCAGTACTTACCTGTCATCAGTACTTACCTGTCATCAGTACTTACCTGTCATCAGTACACTAATATCATCAGTACTTACCTGTCGTCAGTACACTAACATCATCGGTACTTACCTATCATCAGTACTTACCTACCGTCAGTACACTAACATCATCAGTACTTACCTATCATCAGTACTTACCTACCGTCAGTACACTAATATCATCAGTACTTACCTATCATCAGTACTTACCTACCGTCAGTACACTAATATCATCAGTACTTACCTATCATCAGTACACTAACATCATCAGTACTTACCTGTCATCAGTACACTAATATCATCAGTACTTACCTATCATCAGTACACTAACATCATCAGTACTTACCTGTCGTCAGTACACTAACATCATCAGTACTTACCTGTCGTCAGTACACTAAGTGTCGTCAGTACTTACCTGTCGTCAGTACACTAACATCATCAGTACTTACCTGTCGTCAGAACACTAACATCATCAGTACTTACCTGTCGTCAGTACACTAACATCATCAGTACTTACCTGTAGCCAGTACACTAAGTGTCGTCAGTACTTACCTGTCGTCAGTACACTAACATCATCAGTACTTACCTGTCATCGGTACACTAACATCATCAGTACTTACCTGTCGTCAGAACACTAACATCATCGGTACTTAACTATCATCAGTACTTACCTACCGTCAGAACACTAACATCATCAGTACTTACCTGTCGTCAGTACACTAAGTGTCGTCAGTACTTACCTGTCGTCAGTACACTAACATCATCAGTACTTACCTGTCGTCAGAACACTAACATCATCAGTACTTACCTGTCGTCAGAACACTAACATCATCAGTACTTACCTGTAGCCAGTACACTAAGTGTCGTCAGTACTTACCTGTCGTCAGTACACTAACATCATCAGTACTTACCTGTCATCGGTACACTAACATCATCAGTACTTACCTGTCGTCAGAACACTAACATCATCAGTACTTACCTGTCGTCAGAACACTAACATCATCAGTACTTACCTACCGTCAGAACACTAACATCATCAGTACTTACCTGTCATCGGTACACTAACATCATCAGTACTTACCTACCGTCAGAACACTAACATCATCAGTACTTACCTGTCGTCAGAACACTAACATCATCAGTACTTACCTGTCGTCAGTACACTAACTGTCATCAGTACTTACCTACCGTCAGTACACTAACATCATCATTACTTACCTACCGTCAAAACACTAACATCATCAGTACTTACCTGTCGTCAGTACACTAACATCATCAGTACTTACCTGTCGTCATTACACTAACTGTCATCAGTACTTACCTACCGTCAGAACACTAATATCATCAGTACTTACCTGTCGTCAGTACACTAAGTGTCGTCAGTACTTACCTGTCGTCAGTACACTAACATCATCAGTACTTACCTGTCGTCAGAACACTAACATCATTAGTACTTACCTACCGTCAGAACACTAACATCATCAGTACTTACCTGTCGTCAGTACACTAACTGTCATCAGTACTCAGTACACTAACTGTCATCAGTACTTACCTACCGTCAGAACACTAACATCATCAGTACTTACCTGTCGTCAGTACACTAACATCATCAGTACTTACCTGTCGTCATTACACTAACTGTCATCAGTACTTACCTACCGTCAGAACACTAACATCATCAGTACTTACCTGTCATCGGTACACTAACATCATCAGTACTTACCTGTCATCAGTACACTAACATCATCAGTACTTACCTGTCATCAGTACACTAACATCATCAGTACTTACCTGTCATCAGTACACTAACATCATCAGTACTTACCTGTCATCAGTACACTAACATCATCAGTACTTACCTGTCATCAGTACACTAACATCATCAGTACTTACCTGTCATCAGTACACTAACATCATCAGTACTTACCTGTCATCAGTACACTAACATCACCAGTACTTACCTGTCATCAGTACACTAACATCATCAGTACTTACCTGTCATCAGTACTGAATATGCTCTGGTAATCTTTCTGATTTGTTTTTTAAGTCTGTTCAGATTAATTCGGTTTATGTACATATTTTGCCCTGGTTTACCTTATTTTGCCTTTCAAAGTCTTTGTGTTGTTGGAATATTTTTTCAGACAACAAATTGATAATCACAAAGTCATTTTATTTTAGAATGACAATACTATCGACCATAATTGTGGATATGGATTCGAATGACGACGACGAGAAACAAAGAGAGCTCATGAAGAAGGAAATAAAACGAAAAAATACCAAAGAGAACCGAGTGTTCTTACTACATACAGGGTACGTTATCAGGATAGGCGCTCTAGGTTAATCAGGTACCATAAAATATGACGTCATCATGTACGAGAAACAGGTTTGAAATGACGTTAATGTAATTTCTAGATTCTGTAAAAAATAGAATGTTGTAAATCCTATTGTACTCTTTTTATCAAAAACTACGGCGCTCTCTCAATGTGTCATTTGTCAGGTGTATATCGACATAATTATGAATGAATTAGATGGTATTATTTTTGCCCATTTATAATTAAAATAACTGTGGATTTATCTAATTCACTGACACATCAAATTATGGATTTAATTTTTGACGTTCAAGGTCGTTACAAGCCAAAAATCTGCTGGATGCTGCAGAGGAGTTGGAACTAACTGGGGAAAAGTACATTTGGATTCTGACTTCATTTAGTGTGGGTCAGGTGAAGAAAGGTCACCGTACTTCATTTTCCTACCCTATTGGGTCTATAGGTATGTTTACTACACGTGGATACCACTGTATCTCACACTACACGTGAATGTCGCTGTATCTCACACTACACGTGAATGTCGCTGTATCTCACACTACACGTGAATGTCGCTGTATCTCAAACTGCACGTGAATGTCGCTGTATCTCACACTGCACGTGAATGTCGCTGTATGTCACACTACACGTGAATGTCGCTGTATCTCACACTACACGTGAATATCGCTGTATCTTACACTCATACCGTACTGGGTATATAATTAATTACACTACACGTGTAGATATGTTGTTCGTCAGTCACATTTTTTCTACTTACAAAGCGTTTTATCGACATTTTGTTTGGGGATACATGTATTAAAGTATATCGCATTGTCTTCGAGTGAAAGAAAACTGATTTAATACGAGAGGAAAATTTTTATTCATATTTTCAATCTTTATTATGATAATAATGTGATGGATTGGTAGAGTTAATCATCACTAATGCCAAATCACTCCATATACAAATGTTCGACTGTAGGGCTGTAAGAATGTATACATTTACAATAAACATATTGAAGACATCGATGGAGAAAGCAGATATTTACTAGTTTGTACCAAGACTTGAATCCCACAATTTTCCTCCTTTGAAGGCGGAAGAGGAGCTTAGACTTAGTACATTATTAATGAAGTGTTACATAAGATGTTGGAGAGAAACGTATAGTCAGACCTCTAAAGACACTCCCCTCTACGTACACAACTAGATCATAAATGTGGAACTATAACTCCGATTTCAAATTATATGGCTATTTGATGGAATATCAATTTTATGGTCGCCATAGTGATCTCATTGAGAAATATTATGTTCCTTTGTGTGATATAAAGCTGAATGTGGTTGATACTCGTTAGTTTGCCTGCTAGTTACGTTGTTTGTTATGTTCCTTTGTGTGATATAAAGCTGAATGTGGTTGATACTCGTTAGTTTGCCTGCTAGTTACGTTGTTTGTTATGTTCCTCTGTGTGATATAAAGCTGAATGTGGTTGATACTCGTTAGTTTGCCTGCTAGTTACGTTGTTTGTTATGTTCCTCTGTGTGATATAAAGCTGAATGTGGTTGATACTCGTTAGTTTGCCTGCTAGTTACGTTGTTTGTTATGTTCCTCTGTGTGATATAAAGCTGAATGTGGTTGATACTCGTTAGTTTGCCTGCTAGTTACGTTGTTTGTTATGTTCCTTTGTGTGATATAAAGCTGAATGTGGTTGATACTCGTTAGTTTGCCTGCTAGTTACGTTGTTTGTTATGTTCCTCTGTGTGATATAAAGCTGAATGTGGTTGATACTCGTTAGTTTGCCTGCTAGTTACGTTGTTGTATACATCGTAGTCATTTTCTGAGCACGTGATATTTCATATTACTTTATTGGGTTTATATGGCGGGTGTCGTTGATGAAGCAGAAAGCTTACTCTTCCGGAACACATTATCTTATTCTCATTGTACTTTTATCACGATTCTGTGTGAAAATCATTGTGTTGATCCTATCTTACCCTACTGTATTTGAGTTTGGTTTAGGTGTCTGTTAAGATGTCGGTATTTCCTTGTTGGTGTTGCCTGATTTAACAAACAACAACTCCTATTAACCGTAATTCACATTATTAACTTTTTTTAACATACCTCTCTCTCTCCAGGAATAAATTATTACAAGGACCGTGGAGAAAACGAGGCGGAAGCTGCAGCCACGAGCCTTATGATTTGGGCAAAGGCCCTTAAAAATATAGCCGAACACCTCGACAAATTCGATATGTCTCCCAAAATGTCTTGTAACGTTACAGGAAACGACACCTGGAGGGATGGGCGCGCGCTCTATACGTAAGCATGTTTGTGTTATCTATAAACCTATATAATACTATATAATGTTACAAAATGAAGGTAATTATTGCTAAAACGATATCACTAAATGTTGTAACTAAATGGAAGTAAGCGACACGGAGGCTTTAGCTGTAGTTCCATTATTGTCCTTTTTTACTGCAGACATAAAACTTCTAGCGATAATCTTTTAATTAAGTAATTTTCGCGTTGAAACTATTTCGATAAAATATGTTGGCGCTTACTGTAGTTTTTGCCGTGTTATCTACATTGTAACTAGTAAGCGCAAGACGTGATATGGTTGCTACAAAGCATTTGTGCCAATTTAAGTACGTTTACTTATCCATCCATCCATCCAGACAGACAGACAGACAGACGGACAGAGAAAGAAAGACAGACAGACAGAGAACAGGTGTGTGTTCTCCACCGAGACCTGTTTTAATATGTATACATTCACGGAGAACTAAACGAAACCATTTTATTATCCATACAGACGGATGAAGGCCGTACATCAGCTGTATAACGACACCGTGGTAAGGTTTAGCAGTAACGGTGTTAACGAACTGGTCAAGTTAAAACTTTTGAATGTACAGCACCAAACGGGTTATCAGGCGTGGAAAGAGGTAAGTATCTGCTCAACTAGGATATACACATTTCTATGATTCAATGACTGTATCCTTCTAAACCTCTCGTAGTTTTTTTCACATTAATGGTAACTTCGTGGAACTGTCCTACTACTCACCTGTAGTATCGTTTTATGCAAACGCTTCCATTGTTTTATATTATTTTTTTATAACGATGTTGACATATTTTTCTACAAAGTGCAGTTTATTGAAAAATTCGGTTAGGTCTGATTTGTCAACTTCAGTTAGATTTAGTACCAAATGGTTACACGATCAAAGACTCTGACCCGTACATTGTACTCTAGGCTTACTTAGGTGACAAAAGTGTTGTGATATCAATCAGAGAGATGACCTGCTGTCTTTCCAATACCTATCGATTTCCTAGCTCTGGTTATGTTAGTCCTATGTTAAGTTTATTGTCAATAGGCTTCAAACAAACACAAAGCCAGCAAAACGAATTAGGTTTTTTTTCGTGTTATCTATATTGAGTTATTTCCCTTGGTTTGTCTGCGTTGTTCTGTTGATGATTAAAAGAAGGTATATTTGAGGATGGCGCTGATGAAATTAACTGTATAAAATATTGTTTTATATAGGGTATTAGTGGGAAGTGACTGTACATGGTCTTAGACTGACCAAGTCTAGAATATTGATAAAAGTGACCTCGTAAATCTGGTACATTTCCAATTTTATTATAACAATACTGATACACACAGACGTATCAATAATGCATGGAAGAGACACATACATCAAAGTTTGCTACACGACTAAATCTTATTTTCTGATCCCCAGGTCGGTCAGTGGATTCCATACACGACGTATCGACGGTCAGAAATGCGCATCCAAATGAAAGAAATTGTTTGGCCTGGCGGGAAAAACAAACCGCCGAAAGGGAAACCGGAAAAACGTCACTTCAAAATAGTGACGTTAAAAGAGGACCCGTATGTAATGTACCGTGATCCAGATAAAGTGACGGGAAAGTGTGGCCATCATTCTGTGCCCTGTCGTCTGGTGTACAACCCTGCCGAGCAGTAGGTTTCTCTACTTAATTATTACAGTACTATTTCATTGTCTTCATTAGGAATAATTTTAGCTAATTTGAACCCGCCCGATGATAAGCTTGAGTGATTTGATTTCCTGTTTCCGGCCCGTGTGTCGTCCTATTGATTGTTATGATATAGGAGACATTCTTGCTTTGTTTTCCTATAAAGAAATGTGTTTTGTGCTGGAAGATGACGAGTGTATAGGATTCTTCTGGTAAACAGATTTAATGTATCAAGTTTGTCATAATTTGATGATTATCATCAAAATGATAAGGAACCCGTATTTCACAAATCGTCTATAACGTACAGGAATGAAAAAAAATAATGTCTGATAGGAGGATGCATTAAATAGGTCTTTTGAATTGTTAGACATCAGCGCAGCTGATGATGTATGTTACCAAGGATTGACAGAATACTTCGATCTGTTGGAGCGGCGTCGAAAGACATCAATATCTGTCATCGATATGCGTTGCACCTTTGCAGTCTGAGTTTGGTGGTTTTGATGTTTGAACTGATACTAGATTTTACCAGTTCTTTGACTTGAAATTTCTACAACGATAGCGTGCCAAACTCGTTTCTCAGAAATTCACTTGCATTGTTGCCAAATCATCTCTCAAGGGGCTCGTAACTCGTTCCGGGTTCTAAGTTTCTATTGTTTAGTTTTTGTGCATGTCATATCCTTTCAATTCCCTTGTTTTCACACGTTAAACGAGATGCGCTTTTGATACAGCAGGTTTATCAACATGGCTGATCAGACTCATGAGCTACATAATACTTGGTAACACTAAGGTACTGGCGTGTCACCATTGTGCCGTTTTAACCCTACTATCGCCCGGACTCCATTACAAACGAATGGTGACGGATAACTTGATGTCTGAGCACCGTTCCCAACAGATTCCCGCTATTGATTTTGCCATCACGATGGTAATATTTGTATTTTGTTTCGAATAACGAGTCCTACAGTTATAGACTTTGGGGAATTTCACGTTCACAATAATTCCACGCCTTGCGTCTGACTATAATGCAGTATGATTCTGGCACGAGACTCTCGGCCCGACATTTACAGAACTGTCCGTTCGGCCGTACATTGATTGTGATAGTATCCGACACACAGAGCCGTAGTGACAGGGTTAGTGGAACATTCGTAACCCCTCAGTAGTAATTGTTCCAAGGTTATTATAACCTTGCCAGTAATGACGTGAAGACAGGATCTACAATACTTCACCCGTCCTAAAGTACTTTCCATAATATGTCTGCAAAGTGTATATTGTGATCAAAAGAGAAATATTTACAAAGCCATTGTTTTCACTTGCAATTAAATATATTCATTACCATAAATACGTTCCCTAGAATACAGCCAAACGAACCACAGGTCCGGCTGTAATTGCTTGTTCCGGAAAGCAATATGATACAACAGAAATAATAAGGTTTTTTATTGTGGTGGATCAAATAGCCTTTTTGTATATTGTCATACTGTCTCTTAACGAATGTTGTGACCGCGGTCAACGAAATCCTAGATAAGTTCACAAAAAGGCAGTTTAACAGTGTAGTGAGTTTTATCTTTGGAGTTTGGTGTTTAACAATGTAGTGAGTTTTCTCTTTGGAGCGTGGTGTATATAAGTGTAGTCAGTTTTATTTGTGGAGTTTGGTGTTTAACAGTGTAGTGAGTTTTCTCTTTGGAGCGTGGTGTTTAAAAGCGTAGTGAGTTTTATCTTTGGAGTGTGGTGTTTAACAGTGTAGTGAGTTTTATCTTTGGAGTTTGGTGTTTAACAGTGTAGTGAGTTTTATCTTTGGAGCGTGGTGTTTAAAAGTGTAGTGAGTTTTATCTTTGGAGCGTGGTGTTTAACAGTGTAGTGAGTTTTCTCTTTGGAGCGTGGTGTTTAAAAGTGTAGTGAATTTTATCTTTGGAGCGTGGTGTTTAACAGTGTAGTGAGTTTTCTCTTTGGAGCGTGGTGTTTAGCAGTGTAGTGAGTTTTATCTTTGGAGCATGGTGTTTAAAAGTGTAGTGAGTTTAATCTTTGGAGCGTGGTGTTTAGCAGTGTAGTGAGTTTTATCTTTGGAGCATGGTGTTTAAAAGTGTAGTGAGTTTAATCTTTGGAGCGTGGTGTTTAACAGTGTAGTGAGTTTAATCTTTGGAGCGTGGTGTTTAAAAGTGTAGTGAATTTATCTTTGGAGCGTGGTGTTTAACAGTGTAGTGGGTTTTATCTTTGGAGCGTGGTGTTCAGCAATGAAATAAGTTTTATCTTTAGAATTAGGTGTTTACTGTGTTCAGTTGTGTAAAGTGGTGTTAATTTTATTTGGTGTAAGCTCTGTTTTCGGACGTTATCGGATGTCGTTTTTTTTCCAAGTAATTGAAAAAGATAAAGACTTTCTGAAAGGTAATTGTAAATAAATATAAAGCTGAAGTTATCATTAATGTTTCGTTACGTGCAATACCATTTTAGGCGCATTTCAAAGAATAACTCTTCAGTATCAACAATCCACGGGATCCGTGTAGCAGTGACGCAACAGCCTCTTGAAACAATCCAGATTTTATACGACAATTAACTTCATTCTTTTGTACTGAAATATCTGCTGTAAAATACGATCCCGGCTCCGTTGCCCGAATTACTATTCCAGGTTGTGCATTTTCAAAATATTGTTGATAATTGGATTTTAATGAGTCATTGGTTTCCATGAAAATCGTTAGAATTCGACACTAAACATTATCGTGTTTTCCGCTGTACCCTGCCCCTGTAGAATGTGACGATATCGATCACCTATCAGTAACACTTATTCCCCAGGTACAAGTTCGAAACAGAACGGGATTTCCTAGGATATAAATGTCTACACCTTTACTTGATTAATAAACTTCACTGTTCTTGTTATAGCTTAATAATACATACCTAGATATTATCAGGACTTTTGCTACAGAAAAGTCTTGGTCCTCACATGCTATTTACGGAAACATTAGCCTCGTCTGTTTTCCTAGTCCACTGTACTTAACATACGTTAGGAGTAATTTGAAATCCGGCACCAGCGTCCGGCGGGAATCAGTCATACGCTACTCGAGACGTGAATGCGAAAAAAGTCCTGTTCTGGAGGACAGTGATTGGATTTTGAGTTGAACATTGGAATTTTCTTTCACAAATGTCTATCCACTTGAGAAAACACGTGCTTCTTCTTAAAGTTACTGGTTGTAAACCTCATTGATTGATTTTCTTTTATTCTGCAACATTGTATCCGTGTAAAGTTTTGTCTATCCTTTCCTATGCCATAATGTTACAGGAGATTTGTTTCGGAACTACAGTATTTTTTTATACGGTTACATTATACCAATTACATAAACAAGACCCTGCTTACTATTCATGTTGTAGAAATAACATTATTTACCCCCACCTTACTGTTTATGTTGTAGAAATAACATTATTTACCCCACCTTACTGTTTATGTTGTAGAAATAACATTATTTACCCCCATCTTACTGTTTATGTTGTAGAAATAACATTATTTACCCCATCTTACTGTTTATGTTGTAGAAATAACATTATTTACCCCCATGGTACTGTTTATGTTGTAGAAATAACATTATTTACCCCCATCTTACTGTTTATGTTGTAGAAATAACATTATTTACCCCATCTTACTGTTTATGTTGTAGAAATAACATTATTTACCCCATCTTACTGATTATGTTGTAGAAATAACATTATTTACCCCCATCTTACTGTTTATGTTGTAGAAATAACATTATTTACCCCCACCTTACTGATTATGTTGTAGAAATAACATTATTTACCTCCCACCTTACTGTTTATGTTGTAGAAATAACATTATTTACCCCATCTTACTGTTTATGTTGTAGAAATAACATTATTTACCCCCATCTTACTGTTTATGTTGTAGAAATAACATTATTTACCCCCATCTTCCTGTTTATGTTGTAGAAATAACATTATTTACCCCATCTTACTGTTTATGTTGTAGAAATAACATTATTTACCCCATCTTACTGTTTATGTTGTAGAAATAACATTATTTACCCCCATCTTACTGTTTATGTTGTAGAAATAACATTATTTACCCCCATCTTACTGTTTATGTTGTAGAAATAACATTATTTACCCCCACCTTACTGTTTATGTTGTAGAAATAACATTATTTACCCCCACCTTACTGTTTATGTTGTACATTAAATAACATTATTTACCCCCACCTTACTGTTTATGTTGTAGAAATAAATTATTTACCCCCATTACCCCCATTTACTGTTTATGTTGTAGAAATAACATTATTTACCCCCACCTTACTGTTTATGTTGTAGAAATAACATTATTTAACATTATTTACCCCCATCTTACTGTTTATGTTGTAGAAATAACATTATTTACCCCCACCTTACTGTTTATGTTGTAGAAATAACATTATTTACCCCCACCTTACTGTTTATGTTGTAGAAATAACATTATTTACCCCCATCTTACTGTTTATGTTGTAGAAATAACATTATTTACCCCCACCTTACTGTTTATGTTGTAGAAATAACATTAATTACCCCCATGGTACTGTTCATGTTGTAGAAATAACATTATTTACCCCCATCTTACTGTTTATGTTGTAGAAATAACATTATTTACCCCCACCTTACTGTTTATGTTGTAGAAATAACATTATTTACCCCATCTTACTGTTTATGTTGTAGAAATAACATTATTTACCCCATCTTACTGTTTATGTTGTAGAAATAACATTATTTACCCCCATCTTACTGTTTATGTTGTAGAAATAACATTATTTACCCCCACCTTACTGTTTATGTTGTAGAATATGAATGGAACCCCTGATTACTATTTACATTGTACCAATATCGTGAATTAACAATTTCCATTACAGTGAGAATGACAGCACTTTGTTAAACAATACCGTGTTACGATGTTGTACTGGATTGTGTATAGACTTACTAAAGATATTAAGTGAGCGTATGGACTTCGATTACGAATTATACGAGGTTCCTGACCAAACTTGGGGATTACCTGATCAGGTAAACTCCACTTTTCTCTGTTTTAACCAAATTTCTAAAACCCCATTTTTAGTTCAGTTGGGAATTTCATTGATGCGGCATGGTCGGAAATCATCCACATCGAATGTGTGTGCTGGTGTGTTCCATACAATGATCTATACATTAAAATTCAAGGAAAAAAATAAAGATTACCATTGCGAAAATCCAGTGTATTTTAAAGTTGACGAGTTGAGTGTTATGCACAAATGTCGATAAAGATACAATTCAAGCAGTAAGTGCTAGGAACTTCTCTCTTGGCTCTCTATTATGTACTGATACAAGACAAACACTTAATTGGAAAGAACAATTCTAGAAATGAAACTGAATAAAAGTACAAATATTTTATACTTCATAACCATTTTAAAGAGTATAATTAAGTTTAGCAATACCATTTTATGTTGATATCTATTCTCACAGAGGACAGGCCAATGGAATGGATTGATAAAACAGGTGATGACGCATAGAGCAGACATGATTATGACGTCATTAAAAATAACTCCAAAGAGGAACGAATTTATTGATTTTTCGGTGCCCTTTTTGGAGACTGGAATATCTATAGTGGTGTCTATTCGGAAAGGTGCCATCTCGCCGACAGCGTTCCTAGGTAAGTATCATATCACTCTATCTAATACTCGCAGCGTTTAATTTCTTCATCATTTCCCTGAGGATGGCGAAATAACTGCTCTCAGCTCAGAAATATAAGAAAGACTTAGTTTTTAACAGAGCTCGTTCGTTTGAATAAATTGGATTTTACATACAATATCTTGAGATGTTTCGAAGTGGAGACTGTTTTGGTATGGATTTGGAAACTGTAAACGGCAAAATAAAAATGTTAACAATCAGACATTATATTACATGTATTGGATTTTTTGTCGTCAACATTCTAACCAGGAAGTGTGTAAAGTAACACTGATATTTATTCTCGTTATATAAAGTTACAGTTTGATAGGATTTGTCAAGCAATATGGCCTGCTGGTGAAGTAGATATATGTTTACAACACAAAACACGAAAAACTGTCAAGATAGACTGTCTTATATGTGTAATATCGAGTGTCTTTTCTCTCGTTTTTAACCTAAGAATGCCAATGCCTTCTAACAAATGTAAGACTTTTAACAATGTTCCTATTTACTTGAAAAGCTTGCGAAATGATAAAAAATCATGTGTTGTTAAGTGTCTAGGATGATTTTCTCCAAAAACATTTAGCATTGATAAAATACTAACATGTCAAAATACTCATAATCTAAACTCAAATTCAATAAAATTAGTGCAAATTATGAACAAAAGAAAAAAAAATAGGCGCAGACTCGTGAAAGTCCAGAAAAAGACATTGTACATTTTGTTTACAGTGGACCTGATTCCTCTCTATCTGAAATAGAAGATATTTATATATTAAACATAGATAAGACATCGGGTCCTGAAGGCATCAGTCACAAAATACTTAACTAGTATCTAACGGAGTTTCTGTACCACTTTCTGATGGATTTAATTATTCCTTATCTTCCTGTGTATATACTGATACACGGAAAATTGCTCATGTCATGCCTATTTCCAAAGCTATAGATCCATGTATTATCTCTAACTAAAGATCAATATCCCTATTAAACTCTGTAGGGAAACTGTTCCAGCGCGTGGTATACAAACATATTTACAATTTCTTAACTGAATACCATCTAATTTACAACTATCAATCTGGGGTTTTACCACACCACAACCCATCAACTTATTGAGTTATATCACTCTGTAATTACATCTAAAGAAAATTATGAACATTCGATTTTTTTATATTTTGTGATTTGTTTCCTAAGGCCTTTGACAGAGTTTGGCATAAGGGTCTGCTATATAAACAGAACAATTATGGTATCTGAGGACCACGTGTTCAGTGTATAACTACTTATCTGTCTAACAGAAAGCAGGTTTTATGAAGGACTCTTCATTCAAAACTATCAATGCGTGTATTCCACAAGGCTCTGTTCTGGGACTACTCTTTTTCCCTAATATACATTAATGACATCTCCTGTAATCCAGATTCTCTATCTAGACATTTTGCAGATGATATCTCTCTGTCTTGTTCATCTAAATATTTAAACCTAATAGAGAATAAGACAAAATATTATTTTTAAAAAACGCGAAGTTTGGTCGGAGGAATTGCTTCTTACTTATCCAAATAAAACTAAGGTTCTTGTTATTTCTGACAGACGATTGCCTTACATTCCATCTCCCACACTTGATTATTCAAATCTCTAACCAGCTTAAACACTTAGGTGTTATTCTTACCGGTGATTGTAAAGGGAATACACATGTAGAATACACTGTAAGTAAGGTGTTATTCTTATCGGTGATTGTAAAGGGAATACACATGTAGAATACACTGTACGTCAGGTGTTATTCTTACCGGTGATTGTAAAGGGAATACACATGTAGAATACACTGTACGTCAGGTGTTATTCTTACCGGTGATTGTAAAGGGAATACACATGTAGAATACACTGTAAGTAAGGTGTTATTCTTACCGGTGATTGTAAAGGGAATACACATGTAGAATACGCTGTAAGTAAAGTGTTATTCTTACTGGTGATTGTAAAGGGAATACACATGTAGAATACACTGTACGTCAGGTGTTATTCTTACCGGTGATTGTAAAGGGAATACACATGTAGAATACACTGTAAGTAAAGTGTTATTCTTACCGGTGATTGTAAAGGGAATACACATGTAGAATACACTGTAAGTAAAGTGTTATTCTTACTGGTGATTGTAAAGGGAATACACATGTAGAATACACTGTAAGTAAAGTGTTATTCTTACCGGTGATTGTAAAGGGAATACACATGTAGAATACACTGTACGTCAGGTGTTATTCTTACTGGTGATTGTAAAGGAAATACACATGTAGAATACGCTGTAAGTAAGGTGTTATTGTTACTGGTGATTGTAAAGGGAATACACATGTAGAATACACTGTAAGTAAAGTGTTATTCTTACTGGTGATTGTAAAGGGAATACACATGTAGAATACACTGTAAGTAAAGTGTTATTCTTACTGGTGATTGTAAAGGGAATACACATGTAGAATACACTGTTAGTAAAGTGTTATTCTTACCGGTGATTGTAAAGGGAATACACATGTAGAATACACTGTAAGTAAAGTGTTATTCTTACTGGTGATTGTAAAGGGAATACACATGTAGAATACACTGTAAGTAAAGTGTTATTCTTACTGGTGATTGTAAAGGGAATACACATGTAGAATACACTGTAAGTAAAGTGTTATTCTTACTGGTGATTGTAAAGGGAATACACATGTAGAATACACTGTAAGTAAGGTGTTATTCTTATCGGTGATTGTAAAGGGAATACACATGTAGAATACGCTGTAAGTAAAGTGTTATTCTTACTGGTGATTGTAAAGGGAATACACATGTAGAATACACTGTTAGTAAAGTGTTATTCTTACTGGTGATTGTAAAGGGAATACACATGTAGAATACACTGTAAGTAAAGTGTTATTCTTACCGGTGATTGTAAAGGGAATACACATGTAGAATACACTGTAAGTAAGGTGTTATTGTTACTGGTGATTGTAAAGGGAATACACATGTAGAATACACTGTAAGTAAAGTGTTATTCTTACTGGTGATTGTAAAGGGAATACACATGTAGAATACACTGTTAGTAAAGTGTTATTCTTACCGGTGATTGTAAAGGGAATATACATGTAGAATACGCTGTAAGTAAGGTGTTATTCTTACCGGTGATTGTAAAGGGAATACACATGTAGAATACGCTGTAAGTAAAGTGTTATTCTTACTGGTGATTGTAAAGGGAATACACATGTAGAATACACTGTAAGTAAAGTGTTATTCTTACCGGTGATTGTAAAGGGAATACACATGTAGAATACACTGTAAGTAAAGTGTTATTCTTACCGGTGATTGTAAAGGGAATACACATGTAGAATACACTGTAAGTAAAGTAAAGTGTTATTCTTACTGGTGATTGTAAAGGGAATACACATGTAGAATACACTGTAAGTAAAGTAAAGTGTTATTCTTACTGGTGATTGTAAAGGGAATACACATGTAGAATACACTGATAGTAAAGTAACCAAGTACACAGTAAACCCTACACAAACTCCAACTTATTCTAGAAAGAAGTAACTTGGCAAAACTATGTACCGACCTTTATTCGAATATGAATATGGACCATCTACGGCGCAATTCAATTTGACTACTGGATATTTACAAGAATGGACACGTGGATGCCAACATACACAAAACAGATTTTTTGTATCGTGAAACCAGTTGGCTACCACTTTCTAAAAGACGAGAAGCACGGAAACTTTTTTATTTTATTGTAAAGTAAACACATCTGCACTCAGATTTATTGCCAGCAGATATTGGAAATTGTGCTCCATACAATTTACGAAACGTAAACTTACTGAGACAACATTTCCGTCTGTCGCCAAATTCTTTTTTTCTTCTACAAAACTTGAGAATGATTTAGATAAGAACATTAGAGTCTCTGCTATAAATTCTTTTAACGCTAATGGTAAAAAAACAACAACAACATCCACTAATTGTAATCTAAGCAAGCAATTAACAAACTATGGAGCTAGAAAACTAAATATTCTATATTGTCGTCTGGGAAATCGAGCAATGACTCTCAATAATTATCTTTTCAGATGAAATCTTTCAAAGTCTGCTGGGTGTCAATGTGACATCCCTGTGAAGATTCTTATTTCTGTTTTACTTGTCCTTTATATGATAATATCCGAAATTCACTTAACGGATAATTAGCATGGTATGGCGGAGATCTATATATTGATATAACCTGTAAAGGTGATCCCAATATCTCACTTAGTGACAATATAAAGATTGTGAAAGCTGAACAGCATTTCCTGGGGTGGTCGAGTAGATTCTCTCTCTCTCTCTCTCTTCTCACTAAAATTTACAATCTATTGTTAATTAAGCTATATGTAGTATTCAACATGATAAATTGATTGTCTGATCTCGTCATTATTCACATTCTAAAGTTTAATCATTCGACTATTATTATTTCACAATTGTATGTCTGTAATTAGGGAGAGGTCACTTATAAGATGGTAAAACTTAATGACCAGTCTTTTTTACATTCCAATATGACAATAAAATATGTTGAAACCTAATATGTTTTATAATAAAATAAATAGGATGATAAACTTACCCGCAAGAAAAGGAGATAAGATGGGAAAGGAGGTGGGCGAAATATTCAACAATTATTTAACAAACAACTAGATAAAGTATCCATGACCTTGACCTTTGTACCTTGTTCCGACATTCTCTACCTTTAGCTTTAGCAAGAATGCTGCGTCATTCGTATTTATAGTGGTCTATATTTAGAACCATATTCTTACACCGTGTGTTCGGACCAAATCACTCCATCCCAACCTACCTCCATCCGCGATAAAAATTAATATTTATATAAAAATATGAAAAAGGTTTCCGTTTATATAAATTGCATTAAAATAAGTTTTAATTTGTATTAGACCGAAGCTTTGCCATGACAAGTTTGTAGAACTATAACACATAATCCTAAAAATCCTACAATAATTATATAAATATTTACAAACCTCTTCAACGGGGACCAATTCCTCCACAATTACATTGCGCCTGACAAGGCAAACAGCGCTTGGAAATGAGCGACAAAGCTTTTCTTCTCATCATAGATGAAAAAATAGAAAAGCCACTGTTGCCTTACAGTGTTTGATAAAAAGTGCAATTTTTAAATGATGACTTTAAACATTTGTATCGAGGTTTATTCTTTCTTACAAGATCAGGAGATTAAGTGTGAACGGCGAGTTTCATTAAGTCGATAGATACTAATTAATCAGAAAAATACTACCGTGACTTGTATTGTAGTTTAGTGTTAATCACTAGGTTTTAGATAAAGTAGTGATTACATTCAAGTGTTCTTGTCACTGTGTTGTGTGTGCAACATTGATTACCCAAATATACTATATTGTTCACCGCTGTCTTGGAATGTTTATATCCCATATGTATTTTTTATGTGTTAAATTTTCTGTAATATATTTTGGTTTATATTTCAGAGCCGTATGACTACCCGTCATGGTGTTTGATCCTAGTGTTCAGTGTTCACGCGACAGGAGCCTCTATCTTTATATACGAGTGGCTGAGCCCGCGAGGACTTGACCAAGGACGAACATCATTGCGAGGTAACTGCGAGGTAAATCACGGATCGAGTGGTCTAGTGACCGGAAGTAGTGGTAATCAAAACAAGGCTATCACTTCTTTTAGAAAGGGTAGTAAACTTTTTGATCAATTCAGAAGTGATGTTTTACCTCATCCTAAGGTTGTGTTTACACTGCGCTTGGAGGAATACTTTATTTACAGTTAGAGTATATATACAACATCTCCGTGCTGCGGGATATATGATTAATATTACTTTTTAACTACTTTTCAAAGCTATTTTTTAAACGGTGTACATAAATTTACTTTTAATATAATTAATTAAGTAATTAAATGACGTCATACATAATACATGTATATAACTTCAACTTCATTAAGTCATTTATGAAGTATAAATAGTACAGGCGGTGTGTTACATTTCTCTATCCAACTTCATCATCCCCAGCCTGTTATCAATATTGTCTATAGGAAAAGTTTAAAGTGTTACATTTCTCTATCCAACTTCATCATCCTCGATCTGTTATCAATATTTTCTATAGGAAAAGTTTAATGTGTTACATTTCACTATCCAACTTCATCATCCCCAGCCTGTTATCAATATTGTCTATAGGAAAAGTTTGAAATATATACAAAAAACACCCGGGACAGAATAAAAGAATTGTCTCTGTCAAATTACGGAGTGGCAATAAAATTGTAAAAAATGCCTTAATCAAATTTCGGCATGATAATACACACAGAGGAATAAGACAAATGGGTTGTAGATTGTTATTTACTTAAAATCGTTGTAGGGATCTGGATAAAGAAATGTTGATGCAGTCATAATTTGATAAAAGATCAGGTAGACTGATGGTAAAGTCGTGAAAGGAAGTACCGATCACGTGACACTATTGAAGGCAGCAGAAATGTCAGCCATTAGATAGTCTACATCAAACACATAACGGCTAAGAGCTATCTTACAATAAGTTACGATCCGTATTCATAAAATATATAGCGTTATCTCTGCTTCACAGCCGTATGACATGTCGCCATTAAGCATTGGATCAGTTAGACTAGGTTAATTGTTCGTTTACATTAGATCTAATGTAACATTCCAGTGCCGGAAGTCCCGAGTGACATTGACACGTCAGGTCGATAGGTACTATTCTACTTCCGGAAATCAAAAGTAACGCAAACAAAAACACTTCATATCCCAACAGAGATAGGATCGTGATCTTCATTTAACGAAATGATAGATGTTTATTGGGGCAGAAAGGCGAGCAGTAATGATTTACGCCCTGCTTTACAAATCATGGATGCATGGGATTTTGACAGAAAATTGTCGATATGTATTTCCAACTTCTACATACACGTATTATTGACAAAACTATCAGAACAACTTAATGTAAATATGATAGTTGTCAAACCATTTCTTTATTCCAGTGGGTTTATAATGGTGCTAAGTCGATCGTTTTTAGCTTTTATAGGACATATCAAACTACGGACAGCTACCTGGTAATATCATTAACTGTTCGATACATGGATATGCTGATTAGCACGTTACATGTGGGACTGGAGGTCAATTCATGTGGATGTATATATATGGTACACCGTATTTACTGGTTGTCTCGGTGTAATGTAGCGATTCCAAAGTTAATAAACTTCTGCAACATGGATGATGGACGGGGACTAATTTAACAGTCCGTAACTCGTCTCAAAAGGCAGATTTAAACAGTCCTAAGATACATGCCAGCAAAGTCAATAATGATGAAGTTGTTAAAATAATCAACGTTTACTTATTAGTGCAAGTTCCAATAGCATATCAATCACGACACCGTTAAAAAAGGAGATTATACACCCACAACATCTACAGCAGCATGATAGACATTCAAGTAGTATAAGTACATTATTTTACATCACATTTTCATTATCACCATTTTTATAAATATGTCAAAGTAGTGCTGTCCTTCCTTACGGTGCCTTCATGCTATCCGCTTCATTTTTATATATAACAGTAACAGTAACAACAGCCTTATGGTGCTCGTCAGTTTGCCTGCTGGCTCCGTTGTTGTAGACCTTGTTCTCATTTGAAAACGTGACATAACTTACGTATATTGACCAAGATTTACATGGCGGGTGTTGTCGATGAAGAAGAAGACGCTTACTCGACGTAAAGTTACACACGGCGTGTCGACTTAAAGTTACACACGGCGTGTCGACTTAAAGTTACACACGGCGTGTCGACTTAAAGTTACACACGGCGTGTCGACTTAAAGTTACACACGGCGTGTCGACTTAAAGCTACACACGGCGTGTCGACTTAAAGTTACACACGGCGTGTCGACTTAAAGTTACACACGGCGTGTCGACTTAAAGCTACACACGGCGTGTCGACTTAAAGTTACACACGGCGTGTCGACTTAAAGTTACACACGGCGTGTCGACTTAAAGCTACACCCGTCGTGTCGACTTAAAGTTACACACGGCGTGTCGACTTAAAGCTACACACGGCGTGTCGACTTAAAGTTACACACGGCGTGTCGACTTAAAGCTACACACGGCGTGTCGACTTAAAGCTACACACGGCGTGTCGACTTAAAGCTACACACGGCGTGTCGACTTAAAGTTACACACGGCGTGTCGACTTAAAGCTACACACGGCGTGTCGACTTAAAGCTACACACGGCGTGTCGACTTAAAGCTACCGACTTAAAGTTACACACGGCGGGTCGACTTAAAGCTACACACGGCGTGTCGACTTAAAGTTACACACGGCGTGTCGACTTAAAGCTACACACGGCGTGTCGACTTAAAGCTACACACGGCGTGTCGACTTAAAGCTACCGACTTAAAGTTACACACGGCGGGTCGACTTAAAGCTACACACGGCGTGTCGACTTAAAGTTACACACGGCGTGTCGACTTAAAGCTACACACGGCGTGTCGACTTAAAGTTACACACGGCGTGTCGACTTAAAGTTACACACGGCGTGTCGACTTAAAGCTACACACGGCGTGTCGACTTAAAGCTACCGACTTAAAGTTACACACGGCGGGTCGACTTAAAGTTACACACGGCGTGTCGACTTAAAGTTACACACGGCGTGTCGACTTAAAGCTACACACGGCGTGTCGACTTAAAGTTACACACGGCGTGTCGACTTACACACGGCGTGTCGACTTAAAGCTACACACGGCGTGTCGACTTAAAGCTACACACGGCGTGTCGACTTAAAGCTACCGACTTAAAGTTACACACGGCGTGTCGACTTAAAGTTACACACGGCGTGTCGACTTAAAGCTACACACGGCGTGTCGACTTAAAGCTACACACGGCGTGTCGACTTAAAGCTACACACGGCGTGTCGACTTAAAGTTACACACGGCGTGTCGACGTAAAGTTACACACGGCGTGTCGACTTAAAGCTACACACGGCGTGTCGACTTAAAGTTACACACGGCGTGTCGACTTAAAGTTACACACGGCGTGTCGACTTAAAGCTACACACGGCGTGTCGACGTAAAGTTACACACGGCGTGTCGACTTAAAGCTACACACGGCGTGTCGACTTAAAGCTACACACGGCGTGTCGACGTAAAGTTACACACGGCGTGTCGACTTGTAGTTACACACGGCGTGTCGACTTAAAGTTACACACGGCGTGTCGACTTAAAGCTACACACGGCGTGTCGACTTAAAGCTACCGACTTAAAGTTACACACGGCGGGTCGACTTAAAGCTACACACGGCGTGTCGACTTAAAGCTACACACGGCGAGTCGACGTAAAGTTACACACGGCGTGTCGACTTGTAGTTACACACGGTGTGTCGACTTGTAGTTACACACGGCGATTCGACTTAAAGTTACACACGGCGTGTCGACTTAAAGCTACACACGGCGTGTCGACTTAAAGTTACACACGGCGTGTCGACTTAAAGTTACACACGGCGTGTCGACTTAAAGTTACACACGGCGTGTCGACGACTTGTGGCTACACGACGCGTCGACTTAATGTTAACCACGGCGAGTCAACGTAAAGTTACACACGGCGTGTCGACTTAAAGCTACACACGGCGTGTCGACTTAAAGCTACACACGGCGAGTCGACGTAAAGTTACACACGGCGTGTCGACTTGTAGTTACACACGGTGTGTCGACTTGTAGTTACACACGGCGATTCGACTTAAAGTTACACACGGCATGTCGACTTGTAGTTACACACGGCGTGTCGACTTAAAGTTACACACGGCGTGTCGACTTGTAGTTACACACGGCGTGTCGACTTAAAGTTATACACATCGTGTCGACTTGTAGTTACACACGGCGTGTTGACTTCAAGAATCACTTAAAGGCGAGTTTTCGGAAAGACTCAGAGTGGTTGTCAGGAGTAATTTCGTAGTCGCCTGATTTAACTTCATTACTAAGATGAAGTATTTGTAGTCTCTAAATAAATTGCACTGGGTTGGTTTTACATCAGTAAGGGGTGATTTTATGTACAATTAATAATTTTGTGAAATATTTGTGATGATTTTCATTGATTTTTCTTTCTTGATTAAAGCAGACAGAGATATTATTTTGACAGAGCACAGGTTTTCGCTGTTCCGGTCGTTGTGGCTGATTTGGGCTATGCTGTTCGGAGCCTCAGTGTCTACAGATACACCTCGAGGAGTCTCGAGCAGATTTTTGGCCAACGTTTGGGCATTATTCGCTCTGGTGTTCCTCGCTAGCTATACAGCTAATTTGGCAGCGTTTATGATCACAAAGGACGAGTATTACAACCTCTCTGGAATAAAGGATGTTCGAGTAAGTAGTGATGGTGGATGATAAAGCAGTTTCACACACATAGTAATCTATTTTTATTATTCCTTTTTATATGTATACACATGTAATAACGACTTCACTCTCAAAAGAGTTTTACCGAGAATGCGAAAGGGAAAATGTATTTTTCACGGAAATCATGTGACATCATCTGCTCATCTTTCCTTCATTTCAGTTGAAACAGCCCTACTCTCATTCCCCTCCTTTCCGGTTTGCAACGGTGCCAAACGGGAGTACTGAAGAGAACCTCCGACAAAATCACCAGCAAATGTTTGCTTACATGAGACAGTTCAACCAGTCCACAGTTGATGGGGCTCTTAAGTCCTTAAAAGATGGGTAAGGGAGTTTTCGATAGTACCCACCATTATCCCTATAAGAAACCATTCAGACCAATTTTATTTCGGATATTCCGCTTCCACCATTTCTACTTAAACAAAACTTACTTTCATAAGTGATCACATTTTATATGTAATCCTGGCTGTTATTAAAACTTCGGTAAGAATTGACCTGTGGTTAGTGAAAACATACGATGTAAAACTTAAAATATGTCAATCTGTCCAGACGTATGTGTAGCTCTAAAACTGATGTTAGTTGGACTCTTTCACGAACAGCTCAACTACATGTAGCTAACCGACATAACTAACTGACATTGTTTAAATTGTTAAATAACACAGGGTACTAACAGCCATGACTCCCTGTTCTTACAGTATAATGGTGTAAGACATCTCTCTGGTGTCTGTTGACTAGGAGATGCCATTAGAGGCTATTTCACAGCCTGTCGTACACATTTTTCTCACTTGTTGGACTTGTGACGTGTCATGTTCAATATGTTTGGGTGGTGATTGTTCTCAATTAACTTCGACACCGGTAACAGTACATGAGTACTTGACGCTGTTGCACTTACAAGGAGGACGTAGCGGGAAGTGCAAAGACCGGAGACAGAATAATTAAATCATATCGTCTTTACTAGGATTGAAAACTGAATATGTATGCTTTGTTTACCGATTTATAGTTTGTAGGACTGATGTTTTATGGTGTAAACAACTGATATTATTGTGTAAACAACTTTGTTATTGTGTAAACAACTGTGATATTATTGTGTAAACAACTGTGTTATTATTGTGTAAACAACTGTGATGTTATTGTGTAAACAACGGTGTTATTATTATGTAACAACTGTGATATTATTATGTAAACAACTGTAATATTATTGTGTAAACAACTGTGTTATTATTCCGTAAACAACTGTGATGTTATTGTGTAAACAACTGTGTTATTGTGTAAACAACTGTGATATTATTGTGTAAACAACTGTGTTATTATTGTGTAAACAACTGTGTTATTATTGTGTAAACAACTGTGATGTTATTGTGTAAACAACTGTGATGTTATTGTGTAAACAACTGTGTTATTATTATGTAACAACTGTGATATTATTATGTAAACAACTGTGATATTATTGTGTAAACAACTGTGTTATTATTGTGTAAACAACTGTGATGTTATTGTGTAAACAACTGTGTTATTATTATGTAAACAACTGTGATATTGTTGTATAAACAACTGTGATATTGTGTAAACAAATGTGTTATTACTGTATAAGCACCTGTGATATTATTCTGTAAACAACTGTGATATCATTATGTAAACAACTGTGTTATTAATGTGTAAACAACTGTGTTATTCCTGTGTAACAGTATTGCTTTGTTTACCGATTTCTAATTTGTAGGACTGATGTTTTATGGTGTAAACAACTGATATTATTGTGTAAACAACTGTGTTATTATTGTTTAAACAACTGTGATATTATTGTGTAAACAACTGTGTTATTATTGTTTAAACAACTGTGATATTAATAAGTAAACACCTGTGTTAAAATTGTGTAAACAACTGTGTTATTATTGTGTAAACAACTGTGTTATTATTGTGTAACAGTATTGCTTTGTTTTCCGATTTCTTGTTTGCGGTTACTGTTTACCAATTTAAGAAGATGCAGCCAATAGCTTTCTAGGAGTTGTCTCCCTTGATATAAATATTTCTTCTTTCTTACAACAGCAAAATCCACGCCTTTATCTACGATGCCACCCCTCTAGAGTATCACGTGGGAAATGACAAGGACTGCGAGCTAACCACCGTTGGGGATTGGTACGCCATGACGGGGTACGGTGTGGGGTTCCCAAGGGGCTCCACCTGGGTAGAGGAAGTCGATCAGATTATACTCAAGCTGCAAAAATCAGGTATGATAGAGATAAAATCTAACCGGGGTTATATGTCTTAATTTGCAAAAACAGTTAATTTACATATTTCTATGGACGCAAGATGACATTCGGGATATCGAAAAAATGCACAAACGTTGTTTTAGAATAAAATAAGAAATGAAGTTTTGTTAATGAACATTCGATCCCTGATTAATGCATATTGAAATATCCAAAAGCACGACCACGTCCTAGAGTGTGTGCCTGGTGACTTAAATAAACAGTTTCTAAATACTTCGTGTGTAGCTGTAGACAGTTATTACAGAAATGTCATTATAGTTAAACATACCTGATATACACTTTGTCTTGTGTGTTAGGCGATTTAGATTGATTATCGACTAGGTGATAAATACAACTAGCATATTCTGGTCTCCGTTTGCTTTGAGTATGTCTTCTTGTTTGTTTGTTTTTCTTTCATTTTTTTTCTTTCATTTTTTTTGTTGACATTTATGTATCCTAAGTAATATCTTATTTTGCATGTTATTCATGGACAAAGTTAATGACAGTTGAAAAACATATTATGAATAGTTATTGTGAAATGTAAAATGGTGGTGTTTAAATCAAAATACTTTCTGAATCTCCCTATGTTCAAAATGTAAAGTACATTTGCCTTCCAATTAAGTAGTAAATCGACTCTTCTTTAACCTTTAACCTTCAGGCTTTTTACCGTGTTACTTACATCGAGTATATTTCGGTAATACTGTCATGGAATATGAACTGTTCTGAGAGCCATTACAGACCTTTACAGGTCGATAAGATCACACTGGCTTTAAATTCTATTTCAATATGTACAGTCTTATTATGGCTGTAAACAGAAACTTTAGTAACTGTAATTCTACCTTCCCATAGGTATTCATCTCAGAAATATTACATCGCATTTTATTTTATTGCAGCAAATTGTTTGTATATCATATTGTTTATCATTGCTACTGGTATGTGTTGTTGTGCTCAAATATCACCATTAGACTTTCACAGTAAATGGTAGGACACGGCGAGATCCCACAGGAGTTAATGGCATTTTCAGATACTCTTTAGGATACTATGATGGATTATTTGCCGCAGGTTTCCCCTGATTACATGTTAGATATTATGATATGCAGCGTTTTAAGTTCAGTTTCACGATCAATATTTCGCCCGTATATCCTTTTGTTTCCTTGGGTTTCTGTGTAAATCCTTCTTTTGTTTAAATCTTATTTTTATCCGTTTTAAGGCAGAATTACAGTTCAGTTTACAGCCTGTGTTATTGCTTGTGATTTATGCTGCCATTATACAGTGTTACAATGAGATGTAGCTCCAATGGGAGTTGAAAGCTCTACGCTTTAGTTGAACTTTAGTTGTCCTTTTGTTTAGCTAACAACTAGTCAGACACGTTCTAGAGAGAATGCTAAATATTTGCCTCATAAACTATGTGAAATAAAAGAATTTGGTCAAACAAACTTACTATGAAATATTTCAGGTTTAAAACATGTACTTAGGGGAACATCTCACCTTTTTCAAGGAAGTGATGTTAGCAGTTCTTTTACACTTTTCCTTCTTGGGGGTGGGGATGGGGGGTGGGGGGGAGGTGGTAGGGGGGTGGTGCTAATACAGGATGCACATTCAAGCAATAATCGCTTTCACAACTCAGAATATAACTGGTATATCTGACACACGTGTCATAAATTATTGCTAACCCATGTGACAGTTATCGTTGTATTGTACTCTCCATACACCGCTTTGTTTTAAAGTCTCAGTCTTGTCACCCAATATTGTTACTTATCAACGCCATAACTTAATTTGATCAGTAAGGTAGTGCTAACCCGAGATTTTTACCATTTGTCAAAATGTATCTAGATAAACCATATGATTAGGTAAGGCTGATAATTATACAGGTTTGTTCTTAATCACTTCATATGTTTTGTAGAGTTTATCGTGCGTTATTATGCGTACAAAATCTGTCACATATGGGGTAAGTTGAAGACTATCACGTTTCAGCAAAGACGTACACAACACTCTAACTGCTCCTACTAACGCTTACTGTCTCTCTTCATCCTGTCACGCACCATGTTTTCTTTGGTAATATAAATGTGAACGTGATGTATTGTGTATCACATCCCTCATCAACCTTAACTTAATTAAATCGGTATAAAATCGAGCTCTGAAACGCTTGTCGTTTACCTGGTAGACTAATATCTCCCGACCTTCCGGTTGTTTCAGGTGAAATGGAACGACTGCGGAAATTTTGGCTAGCAGGAGCTTGTCACCGACGGAAACAGAAACGAGGCCACTCTAGTCATAACATCGGCATATTAAACTTCACAAGCGCCTTCATATTTCTGGCCGGAGGAATGCTGGTCGGCGTCGTTCTCCTGATAGCAGAACATTTATATTTCAAATTTGGGAGAAAATGTCTGCGAAAATACGACAAAAATGGATGTTGTGCTTTAGTTAGTTTGGTACGTTAACATTTCAATACTTTTATAGATATTGTATCATCAATGCATTGTAACTCTCAAAACTTATTATCAAAGCATGGCTATCTCAATATTTCATCATCAATACATAGTTATCTCGATATTACATCATCAATACATGGTTATCTCGATATTATATCATCAATACATGGTTATCTCAACATCATATCATCAATACTTGGTTATCTCAATATTATATCATCAATACTTGGTTATCTCAATATCATATCATCAATACTTGGTTATCTCAATATTATATCATCAATACTTGGTTATCTCAATATTTCATCATCAATACTTGGTTATCTCAATATTATATCATCAATACTTGGTTATCTCAATATCATATCATCAATACTTGGTTATCTCAATATTATATCATCAATACTTGGTTATCTCAATATTATATCTTCAGCACATGGTTATCTCAATATCATATCATCAAAACTTGGTTATCTCAATATTATATCATCAATACTTGGTTATCTCAATATTATATCAATATTATATCATCAATACTTGGTTATCTCAATATTATATCTTCAGCACATGGTTATCTCAATATCATATCATCAACACTTGGTTATCTCAATATTATATCATCAATACTTGGTTATCTCAATATTATCATCATCAATACATATCATACTTGGTTATATCTCAATATTTCATCATCATTACTTGGTTATCTCTATATTATATCATCAATACTTTGTTATCTCAATATCATATCATCAATACTTGGTTATCTCAATATTATATCATCAATACTTGGTTATCTCAATATTTCATCATCAATACATCTGGCTATCAATCAGTTATCTCAATATTTCATCATCAATACTTGGTTATCTCAATATTTCATCATCAATACTTGGTTATCTCAATATTTCATCATCAATACTTGGTTATCTCAATATTATATCATCAATACTTGGTTATCTCAATATTTCATCATCAATACATGGCTATCTCAGTAATACATCATCAATACTTGGTTATCTCAATATTATATCATCAATACTTGGTTATCTCAATATTATATCATCAATACTTGGTTATCTCATCATATTATCTCAATATATATCATCAATCAATATTATATCATCAATACTTGGTTATCTCAATATCATCATCAATACTTGGTTATCTCAATATTTATCATCAATACTTGGTTAATCAATAATATCATCATCAATACTTGGTTATCTCAATATTCAATACATCATCAATACATGGTTATCTCAATATTATCATCATCAATACTTGGTTATCTCAATATTATATCATCAATACTTGGTTATCTCAATATTTCATCATCAATACTTGGTTATCTCAATGTTATATCATCAATACATGGTTATCTCAATATTTCATCATCAATACTTGGTTATCTCAATGTTATATCATCAATACATGGTTATCTCAATATTTCATCATCAATACTTGGTTATCTCAATATTTCATCATCAAAACATGGTTATCTCAGTAATACATCATCAATACATGGTTATCTCAATATTTCATCATCAATACATGGTTATCTCAATATTTCATCATCAATACTTGGTTATCTCAACATCATATCATCAATACTTGGTTATCTCAATATTATATCACCAATACTTGGTTATCTCAATATCATATCATCAATACTTGGTTATCTCAATATTTCATCATCAATACTTGGTTATCTCAATATTATATCATCAATACTTGGTTATCTCAATATTATATCATCAATACTTGGTTATCTCAATATTATATCATCAATACTTGGTTATCTCAATATTTCATCATCAATACTTGGTTATCTCAATATTATATCATCAATACTTGGTTATCTCAATATTATATCATCAATACAATACTTGGTTATCTCAATATTTCATCATCAATACTTGGTTATCTCAATATTTCATCATCAATACATGGTTATCTCAATATTTCATCATCAATACTTGGTTATCTCAATATTTCATCATCAATACTTGGTTATCTCAATGTTATATCATCAATACTTGGTTATCTCAATATTTCATCATCAATACTTGGTTATCTCAATATTTCATCATCAATACATGGTTATCTCAATATTTCATCATCAGTACATGGTTATCTCAATAGTATATCATCAATACATGGTTATCTCAATATTTCATCATCAATACATGGTTATCTCAATATTATATCATCAATACATGGTTATCTCAATATTATATCATCAATACATTTCGTGTTATTAGAATGTACGATCACTGTTTACTGGACTTAATTGTTTTACATGGTCCTCGTGTTAATTTTTCTTCGTTGTATCTCGAGATAATTTTTTCCTACAATTTTACTTGTGGTACATAGGTACCTTTATTTAAGGGTGTATGAAACTCCTATTTGACAGCTTTCCACCAAGCTGTGTGATAGCATGATGATTTTAATTTTCATATTGTTAATTGACCATTTCTGGATAGCAGTATCCCTGCATCTCTGCGATATTCGACGGCCTGACCCGATTATCATTATTTTCGTGCATGCATCCGTCAACTGACAAAGAAACTTGTAACACAGGGTTTCAAAAGATACATGTTGTTAAAAACATGGGAAGTTTTACGGTCGTCATGGTGATCTTATTGAGAAATGTTCCATTTCTTTGTGCGATATGAAAACTGGAAAGGTTTAACGCTCGTTAGTTTGTTTGTCGGTTCCGTGGTTGTGTAACTGTTCTCATTTGAGAATGTGAAATTACTTACTTGGATTGACCAAAATTTACATGTCTGGTACTGTAGATAAAGCAGAAGACGCTTACTTTTCCGTAACAGCTGATCTTTCTTTTGTTCATATTTTGTCCTAGTTTTATTTTGACATGTCTGTGTTAAGTAGAGAATGATAAAATATATAATAAATCATAACGTAATGTAATACTTATATACGTTTTGGTATACTTTGTCACCAATAGTGATACTTTTTCCATAAGTGGGGGGCTTAATATGGCGTTTTGTAGACATTTATTTTTTCTGTGATTATTTTTTATTTCGGCCTTGTTGATGTCAGGTTTCGGGCTTTAACGACACCAATTTCAACCTTTCCGTTGTAAGGATACTTCTCTTGAGTATAACTTTTGGGCAAAATGCAACAATTGTACCTTTTACAATTGAATGGGAAATAAGCATTTTGAGACAATTGTTTGCTTATTATTCCAGTATCATCTTATTTCATCTTAATTTACGGAGAAAATTTGCAGAAAACAAAGATTGGCTCGGAAATGATCAAGAATGCGTGATATTCACGTAAAACATATGATAAGATATTTCTTAGTACATAAAGGACGTACAGTAACATTTTGATATATAATTTCTGTCATCTTACTTTACATCACACTAAGTTAGATTTTAGATAGTTCTGGGTGTCTGAGTTTCGTTCATTCATAAACACATATGAAGCACATCCATATATGCTGTATTTTAATAAAATTTGACATAAATATCCAGCTTTTAAGTCTGACGACTAAATTTGATATAAATATCCAGCTTTTAAGTCTGACGACTAAATTTGATATAAATATCCAGCTTTTAAGTCTGACGACTAAATTTGATATAAATATCCAGCTTTTAAGTCTGACGACTAAATTTGATATAAATATCCAGCTTTTAAGTCTGACCACTAAATTTGACATAAATATCCAGCTTTTAAGTCTGACGACTAAATTTGACATAAATATCCAGCTTTTAAGCCTGACGACTAAATTTGATATAAATATCCAGCTTTTAAGCCTTACGACTAAATTTGACATAAATATCCAGCTTTTAAGCCGGACGACTAAATTTGACATAAATATCCAGCTTTTAAGTCTGACGACTAAATTTGATATAAATATCCAGCTTTTAAGCCTGACGACTAAATTTGACATAAATATCCAGCTTTTAAGCCTGACGACTAAATTTGACATAGATATCCAGCTTTTAAGCCTGACGACTAAATTTGACATAGATATCCAGCTTTTAAGTCTGAAGACTAAATTTGACATAAATATCCAGCTTTTAAGCCTGACGACTAAATTTGATATAAATATCCAGCTTTTAAGCCTGACGACTAAATTTGGCGTAAATATCCAGCTTTTAAGTCTGACGACTAAATTTGATATAAATATCCAGCTTTTAAGTCTGACGACTAAATTTGATATAAATATCCAGCTTTTAAGTCTGACGACTAAATTTGATATAAATATCCAGCTTTTAAGCCTGACGACTAAATTTGACATAAATATCCAGCTTTTAAGCCTGACGACTAAATTTGATATAAATATCCAGCTTTTAAGTCTGACGACTAAATTTGGCATAAATATCCAGTTTTTAAGTCTGACGACTAAATTTGATATAAATATCCAGCTTTTAAGCCTGACGACTAAATTTGATATAAATATCCAGCTTTTAAGTCTGACGACTAAATTTGACATAAATATCCAGCTTTTAAGCCTGACGACTAAATTTGATATAAATATCCAGCTTTTAAGCCTGACGACTAAATTTGGCGTAAATATCCAACTTTTAAGCCTGACGACTAAATTTGATATAAATATCCAGCTTTTAAGCCTGACGACTAAATTTGATATAAATATCCAGCTTTTAAGTCTGACGACTAAATTTGGCGTAAATATCCAGCTTTTAAGCCTGACGACTAAATTTGATATAAATATCCAGCTTTTAAGCCTGACGACTAAATTTGATATAAATATCCAGCTTTTAAGCCTGACGACTAAATTTGATATAAATATCCAGCTTTTAAGTCTGACGACTAAATTTGGCGTAAATATCCAGCTTTTAAGCCTGACGACTAAATTTGATATAAATATCCAGCTTTTAAGCCTGACGACTAAATTTGACATAAATATCCAGCTTTTAAGCCTGACGACTAAATTTGATATAAATATCCAGCTTTTAAGCCTGACGACTAAATTTGATATAAATATCCAGCTTTTAAGTCTGACGACTAAATTTGACATAAATATCCAGCTTTTAAGTCTGACGACTAAATTTGATATAAATATCCAGCTTTTAAGTCTGACGACTAAATTTGGCGTAAATATCCAGCTTTTAAGTCTGACGACTAAATTTGGCGTAAATATAAGCTAGTATGTCTTACGATTAGATTTGACTCAAATATCCAATTATCTTGATGTTGGGACACAATAAAATATTACATCATTTTAATTTCAGAGTATGGGCCAATCTTTAACATTTGAACAGTCAGTCATAGAAGCTATAGACATGCATAAACGACACAGGTGCAAAGATCCACTTTGTGAAACACAGTTATGGAAAGTTCGTCACGAATTAGACCTATCAAAATTCACGATAGAAAAATTAAAAGACCAATTACAGTAAGTATAGTCTCAATGTATTTGATATATGTATAAGTTATGTTGCTCGATGTTTTTTATCATGTTAAATGATGTGCATTGTATAGTAAAAAGAGTATTCCATTACCGTATTTTCTCTACTATCAGAGTGGTCATATTGGGTAGATCAGACAGCCTACACAATGTTTCTATGTCAGACTATTAATCAGCATATCGAATTATTTTTCCCCTCCCCCTCTCCCCCGTCTCGCCTCCTTCATTCTTCTCCCTTCTCCACTCACTCTTCCTCTCCCCTTTCCCCCCTCCCCCTCTCTCCTGCCTCTTTCTTCTCTTCCCTTCTCTATTCCCTCTTTCTCCCCCTCTCCCTCCCCTCTCATCTCCCTCTTTCTTCTCCCCCTCTCCCTCCCCCTCTCTCCTTCTTCTTTCCCCTCCCCTTCTCCCTCCCCCCTCTCCTCCCTCTTTCTTCTCCCCTCTCCTCTCACTTCTCCTCTTCCCCTTTCCCCTCCCTTCTCCCCTCCCCCCCTTCCCCTCTCTTTCCCACCTTCTCCCCTCCTCTTTCCCCTAGGCTAGGTGTTTAAGTAACGTAACCCATCATCCAACGGTTCACTCCTTAAAATGATGGAACAGACGCTCAATATACATGTATTCTAAACATTTTTATTGTGCAATTATTGTTTATAACATTCCGTTTTCAATGTTTCTATCCGTTGTCATATTTTTGTACACCTTATTTGATAATCCTGGTTCAGACAAAACAAAAAAGTATGTTAGCTATTGTACTTACAGTTTACATGTAGATATGCCTTGCGCTCTCATTTTCAAGCTTTAACGATGAAACGCATTTTGATCATTGCAGGAGTTTTGGTATAAAACCTTTAGAAGGAAATCTTTTCCGACACAAGAAAAAACAAGCACTGGAACAAAATCCTAATCCGAAACCAAACGGATATCCAAGATGTAATAGATCAGAAGGCAACGAGGAGGAACATCGTGTGTGTACGGAATCACAAAGCAAGGAACGCTTGCTTCAGGACAGTGAATGTACTAGCACAAGTCCGTACATGGACGATCCGTCCTTGACTCGCTGGTCAAAAAGATCGTTACGACGGTCACCTAGTTATACAAACGCTATAGCGATTGATCCACCAGGAGACAGCAGCGGTGTTATACAAAGACATATAAACAAAGTCAGATGTCATGACGGAAAATACTATGTAGGTGTAAGCAATGATAACCCCACGGAGGGATATGACATGACACATTATGTGGAATAATGTTACAGGGCGTGATTCTCCGCCCTAAATCATGACGTCATGGTGAGTGTGACGTATGACAATGAAGCGTTGTGACGCTGTTAACCTACTCAAGGCGGAATGACCTACATACATCAACGTAATAGTTAATTTTGCTATGTATTAATCGATGCACGGTTTTTATAAACAACAAGACCGTGAACAGGACATGGGGGTTGATTTAATGATTAGCATCGTTATATTGTATCAACTTCACAAACGATATATCATTTATTTAATTCCAAGATGTACACCCCTAATAAACAACCCTGATGTCCCCTACAACACAACCCCTATCGATATACGTACTTACCTGTAACGAACAATAACTATATATATATTCAATTTCATGTTACGTCATCATCGCAGATGTCGTCTAAACTACAAATATATATTTTACTAATCAGAATTTCATTTCTCTTTTTGTTTCTCAAAGTTGATTTCTCATACTTACGAACCAATGTTGATTTGAAATATTAGTAAGACTCTATACAAACACGCATCGAAAACTAACCATTCTCTCATCAGTTCTAACTTAATATAGATATTCATACAGAATGATATTTGTATGATTTTCATTAAGATATCCCTACAGAATGATATTTATATGATTTTCATTAAGATATCTCTACAGAATGACATTTGTATGATTTGAGTTAGATATCCCTACAGAATGACATTTGTGTGATTTTCATTAAGATATCCCTACAGAATGACATTTGTATGATTTGAGTTAGATATCCCTACAGAATGACATTTGTGTGATTTTCATTAAGATATCCCTACAGAATGATATTTTGTATGATTTGAGTTAGATATCCCTACAGAATGACATTTGTGTGATTTTCATTAAGATATCCCTACAGAATGACATTTGTATGATTTTCATTAAGATATCCCTACAGAATGACATTTGTATGATTTTCATTAAGATATCCCTACAGAATGACATTTGTATGATTTGAGTTAGATATCCCTACAGAATGACATTTGTATGATTTTCATTAAGATATCCCTCCCTACAGAATGACATTTGTATGATTTTAATTAAGATATCCCTACAGAATGACATTTGTATAATTTGAGTTAGATATCCCTACAGAATGACATTTGTATGATTTTCATTAAGATATCCCTACAGAATGACATTTGTATAATTTGAGTTAGATATCCCTACAGAATGACATTTGTATGATTTTCATTAAGATATCCCTACAGAATGACATTTGTATGATTTTCATTAAGATATCCCTACAGAATGACATTTGTATGATTTGAGTTAGATATCCCTACAGAATGACATTTGTATGATTTTCATTAAGATATCCCTACAGAATGACATTTGTATAATTTGAGTTAGATATCCCTACAGAATGACATTTGTATGATTTTAATTAAGATATCCCTACAGAATGATATTTGTATGATTTGATCCATTAAGATATCCCTACAGAATGACATTTGTATGATTTTCATTAAGATATCCCTACAGAATGATATTTGTATGATTTGATTCATTAAGATATCCCTACAGAATGACATTTGTATGATTTTCATTAAGATATCCCTACAGAATGATATTTGTATGATTTTCATTAAGATATCCCTACAGAATGATATTTGTATGATTTGAGTTAGATATCCCTAAAGAATGATATTTGTATGATTTTTATTAAGATATCCCTACAGAATGATATTTGTATGATTTGAGTTAGATATACCTACAGAATGATATTTGTATGATTTTTATTAAGATATCCCTACAGAATGATATTTGCATGATTTTCATTAAGATATCCCTACAGAATGATATTTGTATGATTTTCATTAAGATATCCCTACAGAATGATATTTGTATGATTTGAGTTAGATATCCCAACAGAATGACATTTGTATAATTTGAGTTAGATATCCCTACAGAATTCTTTGATTGGTAGTTATCACTCCATGAGAGTTTTCGTTTGGTGCCGGACTACAAAGGTTCTGGATAACTTTTGTGATATTTGAGAAAGCTCATGACACCTGTATCGGACTGTGAGCAGAGTGTCGTTGATAACTTCCGTAGCTCTTTCTTGTTAATGCGATCATTTCATCTCATGACACAAAAACGAACTCATTATTTCAAAAACTATGACCACACTCCTTACAGCGACATTTTTCCATCCATAGTTTCACTTATTTTGTTGTCAGAACAAGTTTAAATTGCTTACAGCGACATTTTTGGCCACTTTGTTTTCTTTACCAGCACTAGATAAACATCTGTCACTTTGTTTTTTTCACCAGCACTAGATAAACATCTGTCACTTTGTTTTCTTTACCAGCACTAGATAAACATCTTTCACTTTGTTTTCTTTACATTCACTAGATAAACATTTCTCACTCTGTTATCATTTTCGTCACTAGATCTAATATTTTTCATTTCACAGGCTTTAGGACCAGATCAAGTAATTTTTATTTAGTTTCTCTCGATATTTTGAGTTTACTGAAAACAACATTGTCTGGTATCAGGTAAGGTACTTTTAACAGTGAATTCTTCAACAACGAATTATGGTGTTAAAATCCGCCAAGACGCCACTAGACGTTCTGACTTGCATCTTATGTTACTGTAGCTGTAAATTCCACATGAATATAGTTTCAGTACTATTATCAAACATTTCCTTCAGATTGATAAATGTATGTAGATAGACGAATAGATTTTATAACTAATTAGAGAAAACATGTGTGACGTTTTGGTGATTAAAATAGGACAATTTGCAAGAGTTCAATGAGCAATACTGTCAAATGGTATGTCTGAGTCCACTGAAGTGGGTTGGTTCTGAACAGGGACGAGGGGGGCCCGTTAAAGAAACCGTAACCAAATGTTAATTTAAAGTGTCATTTCATTGACACTTGATAATTATATTAACTGTCTCAGTGTGAGTATAGATTTGTTTTACGTAGGAGTACGCTTTACACCTCATTGGGCATATAGACTGCTCATTTATGTCATAACAGTGCCAGGTTTTAGTCAAACATGAATTTTTTCACTCCTAACTTACCTAGATGGGAAAAAATGTGGCTGTGATAAAGCTAACACTATACAACTAATACCATTCCATGGGTAATTATGATAGATAAACTATGAAAGGGGTAATGACCAGTGGACTGTGATAATAACATGTAAAATATGGGATATAATCAGTAAACTGTGGTAACAACCTGTAAGAAAAGGGGAGATTATCAGCAACCAGTGGACTGTGGTAACAAGCTGTAAGAAAAGGGGAGATAATCAGTGACTGCTGGACTGTGGTAACAACTTGTAAGAAAAGGGGGAGATAATCTGTGACCGGTGGAATGTGGTAAAAACCTGTAGAAAAGGGGAGATAACCAGTGACAAATGCATTGTAGTAACAAGCTGTAAGAAAAGGGGATTTTATCAGCTACCAGTGAACTGTGGTAACAAGCTATTAGGAAAGGGGAGATAATCAGTGACCAGTGGACTGTGGTAACAAGCTGTTAGGAAAGGGGAGATAATCAGTGACCAGTGGACTGTGGTAACAATCTGTAAGAAAAGGGGAGATAATCAGTGACCGGTGGACTGTGGTAATAACCTGTAGAAAAGGGGAGATAACCTGTGACCGGTGGAATGTGGTAAAAACCTGTAGAAAAGGGGAGATAACCAGTGACAAATGCATTGTGGTAACAAGCTGTAAGAAAAGGATAGATAATCAGTGACCAGTGGACTGTGGTAACAAGCTGTTAGGAAAGGGGAGATAATCAGTGACCAGTGGACTGTGGTAACAAGCTGTTAGGAAAGGGGAGATAATCAGTGACCAGTGGACTATGGTAACAAGCTGTTAGGAAAGGGGAGATAATCAGTGACCAGTGGACTGTGGTAACAAGCTGTAAGAAAAGGGGAGATAATCAGTGACCGGTGGACTGTGGTAACAACCTGTAAGAAAAGGGGAGATAATCAATGACAAATGAATTGTGGTAACAATTTGTAAGAAAAGGTTGAGATAATCAGTGACCAGTGGACTGTGGTAACATCTTGTAAGAAAAGGGAAGATAATCAGTGACCAGTGGACTGTGGCAAAAAACCTGTAGAAAAGGGGGAAATAATCAGTGACCAGTGGACTGTGGTAAAAACCTGTAGAACAAGGGAGATAACCAGTGACAAATGCATTGTGGTAACAAGCTGTAAGAAAAGGGGAGATTATCAGCTACCAGTGGACTATGATAATAACCTGTAAGAAAAGGGGGAGATAATCAGTGACCAGTGGACTGTGGTAACAAGCTGTTAGGAAAGGGGAGATAATCAGTGGCCGGTGGACTGTTGTAACAAGCTGTAAAAAACGGGGAGATAACCAGTGACCAGTGCAATGTGGTAATAACCTGTAGAAAAGGGGAGATAACCAGTGACCAGTGGAATGTGGTAATAACCTGTAGAAAAGGGGAGATAACCAGTGACCAGTGGAATGTGGTAATAACCTGTAGAAAAGGGGAGATAACCAGTGACCAGTGGAATGTGGTTATAACCTGTTATTATTAAGTCGATAACGCATATGAAATTTTTATCATGTATGATTCACTATGATTTTATTTCATATCTTTGTTTTAACCAATTTCACACCGTTGATGATTTAGAATTTCCTGGTTAAGAAAATGCAGAATATTCTGTTCTTTTCCTAGTAGTCGGTTGATCAGCTGCTTATATTCCCTCGTTTTTGAGCTGTTTGAAGTATTAGAGAATTAAGCAATACAATATTGCATGATTTCTTGTCACTCTCGTCATCGCTCGAAAATCATTCAATAAGCTATACGTGTAAAATCATTTACTTCGATAGGATTGAATGTGACGTAACAGATCGTTACTGTGTAGGTACAGGCCCTATATACTTATTCCTTACTCAGATATCGTTTATCAAGTTGGTCATCTTTTCTACCTTATGATTTCGTCTATTATGTTCACACTTTGTCAATGTTTGATTTGAAAACATATT